CCAAGTTGGAGTTCTCCCAGATCTCACCTAAACTCCTAGTAATGTCCAAAAATCAGGATTTAAATATGTGCTTTAAATCTATTTTTGGAGACTATTTTGAGACCAGTCCCAGAGGGCATCCCAGAACCAGAGAATGCGCTGACTTGGAAGAGGCCCATAGGGATCATGGAGCACAACTCCTGGGCCTGTGCAGGAAACCCCAATCCCAGTGTGTCTCCTTTGGGCATCACAGCAAACAGCTCTCACCTGCCTCTCCAGCCCCTTGTTTCTTCTACCCCAGTTATGCTACTTTATCTGGTTCAGGCTGTGGATGAAAGTAGCCTCAACATAAAACTTCTTGTTTTAAGTTATGCCTTATTTGAGGTGTCCAAGCTTTCTTTTGCAGTTTTTTTTACTACAGGCATTATATTGCTGTCATCATTGCTAACAAGAGAAAAGGTATGTATGTATGTATGAAATGTTCATCAGCACAAATATATTCGTATTTTCAGAGGCAGAATCCCTAATGAATTAATAAACTCCCAAATATTTTGCCTTTTTAAACAGTATGTGGAATACTCATTAATAGATTATTGTGTATCCTTGCTATACAGGTATTTTCAAAAGTTGTGATTAGTGAGAGTTACAATAGCTACATTATATATGCAAAAGGAAGAGAAAGAGTGGTTAGTCACTAGGATAAGATTGTGATTCGAAAACACTGTAAGAAAATTGTCAATGAAAGAAGAAAAGGGAATCCTCTTCTGAGGAGATTCTTCTCATTAAATATGAATACATGAAATTTACATGTTGAATTCAAAAACCTTAAATACAAAAAATACTTTCCCTAGTTCTCTATGTCCACACTGCAGATTAAATAAGACTTTTATTGAGGTACTGATCTCAGCAGGACAGCTATCCACTTTCCACATACCTCACGTGACTTTAACAGCCATCTACATTTTTATTTTTTTATTCCTTTGTAAAGATATATTACACTCTGAGTTTTATATCCTTTCTGTTGCAGCACATGTCACAGTTGAGCCAGCCACGATACACAGAATATCACCATACAATTTCAGAAGGTTGCAAGCATCTGCCCTTCTTGTTCTTTAGCCTCACCACCTACATCCTTCTGGTCAAAAGTTCTCCCAGTCTAAAATCAAAAGTATTGAGAATTAAGGTAGTACTCGTATCCCTCTCCCTCATGGTGATGAAAAAAAAAGAAAAAAAGAAATTATAGTTCTGCAGAAGAGGCCATTGTACAGTGTATTTCCCTGCAGCACAAAGACCCCCAGACACCCAGGCACATCCAAGCATAAATAGCACTGATGAACCCCAAGATACTTTCAGCAAATTATGGGAGCACCATTAGCATTGCAGCTAATTGAAAAAGCTCTGGTTTATGTTAATTCGCTCTAGATGAGAATGTATTAATTGTGCTACTTTGAGAGCTATCTTGGTCACTTTAGACATCTTCACAGAAGACTTAATTGCACAAAGCAGACACAGATCCTAACTTCAGCTGAATCAGTGGGAATTCTTCCCCGGAGTCCAGGGAAAGATTGACCAGGCTGTGAAATGGTTATAATCTGTTACGTGTTCTTGCTAAGAGCTTTAACCTCACACTTGGCAAAATTAAAATTAATTTTCCCTAGAACAAGGGAAGACATTTCTCCTACCAAGCTGATTATTACAGCTTTTGTCAGGAAGTCATGTTTCCTATTTTACAATCGGAGCAATCTGCTCCTTCTTTTTATATTATTCATTTTGCTTTTAGAGAGAGAAGAGGCAGAAAACCCAAACAAATTATTTCTTTTTTCAACTTTACATGAAGACTACAGGTTTGATCCAAACAATTCTGGATTGGAAGAAGAAACAAATCAGAAAAAAGGCTGAAAATTCAATCTGACTGTAAACATTTTTAAAGAATGAGCATCTGAAGGCAAATTCTGTGAATAAAAGTGACAAGCATGCAGGCATGCTGTTTTTCATGTCTTGTAGTCTCCATTTTTCCAAGATTGTGGTTCATTTCAGAAGAGATCTAACTAAATGTTAATAGGCAGTGAGCAGGAAAAAAAAAGGATGTCTTTCAGAAATGGGAAAGTGACAACAGCCTGTAAACAAGAAGAGAGTGGGAGAGTGCATGGGTTACACCTTGCAGGGCTTTGCGTTTTCCCTTGCAGCCAAGAGAGCTAATTAAAACCTCATGTCCACAAAAAGACGTAGTGCCACTTAGGTCAAACACATGGCTTTGATATAGTGGGATATCTTACATGGAAACATCCTCCTTTCATGCTTTTAATCCTAGGATTACAAGCACATATCAACCGTCTTGTGAATATCATCTGAGATAGCACTATTTCCTTGAAGTCTATTGTAAATTCTGGCTTTTCTAAAGAAACTTACCTAAAGTATTCACACACTCATATTTTTGTTTTTATTTACATGAATGTCACTGTGGCAAAGCTGGTAGCACTACAGATTATTAGGCTTGCCCAGTAGTTTTCATTATAAGACTGTTTATCAATTTGTAAATTTGCCAAATATTAACAACATAAACTAACATTTTCCTGAGGGGAAAAAGAGAATGAAACATCAATTTCTTGGCTTTTCATTATCTATTTTACTATGTGGTCCTCACAACAAGAAGGCATAGCAAAATGTTTGAGACATCAACTCATTATTTTGGTCCAGTCAGAAATCCTGTGTAACTCATTTTCCTGTTACCTATTCATTGTAGATTAAAACCTCAATGCTGTGTTTTTAAAGATATATTTTAGTCTTTAGTGTTAAAAAAAATTCTAGCCTGAAAAGGACCTGCAGATTACTGCAGAGATTTAATCAGCTAAATTGCTGAGAACACAGGTGTATTCCAAGTCAGAAACATCACTCCTAGAAAATGTCCCACCTCCTCTGCAGTTCAAGATCAGACTTGCTGTGGTCTCTCACATCTACACAGTGGGAGAAGGAGGAGAGGAAAACTGAATTAAGGATAAAGGGCAAGAGACGGAGATATGGAAACAGGAGATAATAGACTGGAAAATGGCAAGCAAAGAATAAGGAGAAAATGAGACTGAAAAGGAAGGTGAGAAAGAAAAAATCATACAGGAGAAAATTACAGGTCTGGGACTGAGAATTAGTGATGGAGGGAAATGTGAGAAAGAGGAAGAGAAATTCCTGTGGAAGAGAAGAAATGAGAGTATTGTGACAGGCTGGCCACACACACCTTTTGGAAATGCTAAGAAAAACGAAAGAGTTAAGAGAGAAGTGCTGATCTGGAAAAAGCTGAGGAGAAAGATCCTAAAATAGAGACAAGAAACTAGTGCAAAATAGAAAGGCAGACTGGTGAAGCTGCAAAGGCAGGAGCTGAGACAGAAACATAGCATAGGTTGAGGAGAAATGAAAGGCAGCCAACCAACACAGCAGGAAAGGAATGCAAAGTTGAATGGTGAATCATTAGCAAGATGCTGAATGGAAGGGGAAAAAGAGACACAGCAAGTGCAGAAAAGACCACATCACACCTAAATTAGATAAGCAAAAAGGGACTTGTAGCAGAAAGTCCCCACCAGAAGCTGGAGACTGATGATTTGCAAATCTTGTTGTCCTCTGTCAGCAGATACATGTGCAATCCACCTGCAAAAACTCCAATGAGAGTTCCATGCTTCCAAACCTTACATTTCCTCAGGAAGCTCAAGTTCTAGACATTTCTGCATTGGAAACCCACACTTGTAGGAATCTGATGATTTGTGTTAGGATTTCAAGATTTTGTTTTCAGTTTGTTTATGGTTTTTAAAAATTAAACATGCATCTAAAGCATCTACCTTAAATTGTACTGCAATATGATGCAGTCAAATATTAGGAAAGGCCAGAACTAAAATAAACTCGGCAATTTTCATTTATGTTCATCGTGCATGCAATGACATAGCCCTTCCTTTTATGACAGTGGTGATCTCATCTGAGCTAATGGACATCTGAGCTAATCATCCAACCTCCTCTTATAGTAATGACAAAATGTCCTTCTGGGATAGGATACACACAAGGCATGAATGTCTAGGCAAAAGGTCTTTAAGGTCAAAGGAATACATAATACACAATGCTAAATCTGACAACTTCACACATTATTTTTTCTGTGTGCTTCTTAACAGCTTCAAAAACCTTTTGAAGCTGCTCAAACCTCTGCTATCGATTTCATGGATCATTTGGAATCATTTTCTGAAAACCAAATATCAAGGCTTCACGTCCAGTTCCCCAGCACCAGGGGCTTTTGCTGGAAAACAATAGCTCGGTTTCCTGATGCAGCAGCAAAATTCCCTTCACCTTAAATCAGACATCCATCAGTTCAAAGAAAGAGCCATAACTTTTGTGCAGGGATAGGGTATGATCATATGGTTGTATACTGGATTGTGATGTATACATACAAAATTGTATAGGCAGTGTAATTCTGACATGTTCTTAATTGTGCCTTCATTTTTCTGCAATGGCACATGTGTTGTCACCATCTATGAATAGAATAATAACACAAAAAAATCTCAATGACAGATTTGTAAATTCTTCTGTAAAACAAACTTGGTGTTAAATTTGTACAGCTGAATAAAAGTAGTTTTCATCCTCGTCTGTGTTTCTGCTAACCAAAAGCTGCCTCATTTGACGAAATATGTGTCAGAAAGCTAGGTTCCCTTGTTAATAGAGAGCAGAATTCCCCACCACTGTGAATGGTTGCTTCCTGGATACCGTATTTGACAAACAGAACAGAAAAGTGCTTGCTTCAGTGGAAGTGTTGCAACAATGGCAAGCCTTATGTCTGATACTGCAAAGCTGATTAAATATTATCATTGAGAAAGTGCTGCAACACTGAATGTGAATTGATGGATGTCTGTTCTTCATTTCTCTCTGAGCAAGCACTGCAGAGTTTAATCCCCCAAAATAATTTTTGTACATTGGGATTAAATGATTGTAAAGCCTGGAAGGTGCAAGCCCTTCACTTTCTAGTTACAGCAGCCTAGGACACCTCTTCTTACTTCAGCAAGCCGGTCCACTCCGCTTGCAGTTCGTGCGAGTGTCACAAGATCTTCTTGCATCTTATCCACCCATGCTTTTATCCTGCAGAAAACAGAAAAGAAAACAGAGGCATGCAATCAGATCACTGATAAATGAAAATGTCATAAAAGCATATAGCACAAAAAATGTGAAAAAAATAAAAGGGATAAAGTTGAATACAAAACATAAGACTTGTCATTGAGGTTTTTCTTCTACTCAGCCATCTTGACTTGAATCTGTTCATACAACTGTCTGTGGTGGCCACCGCGCTATGCCACCTGTAAACCCAAGAGTGCCATCATATCTCTGAAGCCAAGCTGCAGAAAAGATCCCCACAATCTGCCTGCCCTGCAGCTCACTCCCAAAAACGCCTCTCCTGAGCGCCCCAAGGTCCTTCTCCCAACAGACAGTGCAGAGAAAAGCAGCAGCTGGAAGCAGGCTTTCAAACCACACTAGATTTTCTGGCCTGTAGCCTCTCTTCAAGGAAGCAACAGCAGGACAGGCAACAGTGGCCACGAGCTGTTTTGGAAAGGCACGTTTGCTCCTGGCTGCTGTCACCAGGGAAGAAGTGATTTGCTGCTGTGCCTGCTCTGCTCCCTGTGCCCAGTAAACCTGACTCTCTGGAAATGCATGGGATCCAACACAGTTTTTGTGCCATGTCACGTTCTGTAGCAGGAAAGGAGCCATGGTGAAAGTTTATTCCAGTAAGATCCATGTTCAGAAGGTTGTCTGGCTTGCCCAGCCAGAAATTTTGAAGTCCAACTCAACTCTCACACTATCCCTGCCATTATGCCAGCTATCTGCTCTGAAACCTAGAACAGATAAACATATTTATTTCAGCCATTTCCCAGCTTTGATCTCACACCCCAGAGATAACAACTTAGATTAATTCATTAATATAGACAGAAAAAAGGAAGATTGAATTTTTGCTTCAAAATGGAAAATTTGGAAGACTAAGAAAGAAGATGGAAGACTGATTTTACTCCTTTTTTTCCATGGCTTTAATGAATACATTTTCTGCTAATCCACAACCAATTTCTTCAAAGAGTACCATCTTTATTATGGTCTCAAGTTGACTGTTTTTATTAAAGGACCCTTCATCATGCTTATTTCACACAAAAAATCATATTCACATTGACTATAGCAATTAATTGCATTATTGGTGTAATGCTCCCAAACATTCCCTTCTATACTTTGCTTTCCAAAAACTGAAATAAAATAAATTAATTTCCTGGTTCAAGTGTCCACAAAGAACTATATTATATAAGCATTTAGTTCTGTCTAGAAATCAGATTATTTAAAACCATGGTGCATTATATCTGTCATGGCTTTAAGACCATCATCTGTATCTGTGCAAAGCATAGACTCAAAAGCACAAGTACAAGCACAAACAAGAAAATGTTATCATTTTCCATTTTTGAATGGTTTCTGTTTTTCTGAGTGGAAGAATGAGGTAAATGAAAGGTGAAAAAGTGAAACCCATTACCCAAAAGTGTTTTCAAAAGCATAAAATAAATAATTGAACACCCTGGGATTTTTTTATTATCCATTTCAGTTATAAAAATTGTGGGTGTTATTTCTAGCAGAAGTCAATAGAAAAAATCAGGAAGGATTGATTTTTAAATTGACTTTTTCCATTTCCTACTACTTTATATTTTTACTAGAGATATTCCTCTCTGTCTTTAAACAAAACTGGAATGGTGAAAATGCATATTAGTTAAGTAGTTAGTTAGTTAGCTAGTTAGTTATTTAAATTTGAAATTTTGGAAGCTATTCTTATACCCAGTAATTACTTACTATTATTTGTAAATGAAATATGAATCATATTTTCTCTTTAACATGAAAAAAAGAAGATTTTTCAATAAATACTTATATATTGTCTAGAAATCCTGCCACCACAGAATTAGCCCACATCTTGCCTTTTGAAATTAATGACCATGACTAGTTTTTGTTTTATTTTGGGTTTGCTTTGGTCTTGTTTTAATACGTGTTTGAGCTAGGCTTCTGCTTCAATGTCAATGGGAAAATGCATGTCCAGAGCTGACTCACTCTCTCCTCAGCCAGTTGAGCTGAATCTATCTTCTAAATATCTTCTAGTGGAGCCCTGGTCAACTTTGATTCCTAATCCAAGTTCTCCAGCTTGACTTTTAGTCAGGTAAGGGTAGAGAGTATAAGTCTGTAAACTGGAACATGAGGAAGTACACCTTCTTCCTAACTTAATGGCAATCTCCCTCCCCAGCTGTAATTATAATGTAAATAATAAGGTTTCTACAAATATATTCACTACCTTAAAATTATTTTATGGCATATTGGAGTTAGTCAGTTAGACTTCTGTAGCGAAAACCATCTCTTTTTTTGCTTTCCTGTACATCAGAGTGCAACATTATCACAGAATTATGGAATCATAGAATAGTTTGGGTTGGAAGGGACCTTTAAAGGTCATCCATTCCAATCTCCCTGGAATGAGCAAGGGCATCTTAAACCAGCTCAAATTGTTCAGATGGCAAAAAGCAATAACATCACAAGTGTTGAGCTAGATTACTGTCAAAAGTAGAAATGATAAAATTACATTATATGACTTTGAGGAAGCTCAGTATAATTCCTCCTTCTTTCCCACAAGCATTTGAATATGATTAGTAGTATTTATAAAGTCTAATGTCAGGATTTCTGCATCTCAATTTCCTACCTTGCTACCAGACAAAAGTGTACATTTGAGATATTGCATGCTCAACATAGGCTTTTTCTCAGAAATGCACATACTCACATTCTAGAACTTTCACCAAAAAAATTGCATAGAGTATATATAAAAAAAAGGTTTTTGTTTTTGTTTTCCAGTGAAAGAATCGTATTATCTCATTGTGGTTTTGGGGGGTTTTTTTAAGTGTGTCTTTAAAACAAAATAAATAAGGGCCTTTAGGCACTGAAATGCTTGTCTGGTGCTCCTTTCAACTGAAGCCTGCAGTGTAATATCTGTCTGACAGCTGCTCATGGTCAGAGTTTATTTAACAATTGGAAAGCTGTCACAGCAAATGGGAGCCCCCATGACTTAAAGAAGAAGCAGCAATTTTTTTTCTGCAAAGGGCACCGACAGAAAGCCAGTACGAAAGACTAGTTTGTTCGTATCATTATTAGTTTGGCACAAACATTGCAATGGATGTATCACCTATTGAAAGGTGATTTTGTTCTGCAGGACAGTTGACTGTAACCCCCTTCTCCCACACACAGGCTGTCCCTGAATGAAGCAGTGACAAGACAAAGGAGTGTGCATGTGCTTTCCCACAGCAACTTCCAAGTGATCTGAATGATGGAGGGAGCTGTCTGATTAAAGATAGACAGACACGGGTCATTTATTGGGGGATTAGAAGGTACAGCCCTGCTCCTGTCACCTGGGCTGTGATCAGATTGATGATAAAGTAGCCAAAACACTAAAGAGCCATCCATCCACATTACGTGTTTAGCCAGCTTGGTAAAACAGGTATTTCGACAGCATAGGAAGATTTTGATTTCTTTCTTTTCTCATTGTATTTCTTTCTCATTTTTTTTAAAGCAGGACAATTATATTTGCTAAAGTCAAAGGATTTTCACTAGTACACCCCTAGCCACACTCCAGGCAGAACTAAATATAGCAGGTGCTAGACTAAAAAAATCTTTATTTTAATTTCATTAAAACCTATTTTTATATTATACCTGTACTTGCAGAACAGAGCACTGCTCAATTACAAGGGTAAAAGAAACCAAGATGTCTCGATGCAGAGTAACCTGGCTATAACCTTTTTTTCTCTACTGAAACTGATGCAGTATTTTTCTGCTGACTTCAGGGAAGGTAGATTCATGTAATGATATGCCGTATCTTTGTAGACCACTCACACTAATTTAAGGTCCATTAGCTGACTTCTGCTTGGATAATATATTATAATCTAAAGAGGCATAGTTAAACCTTAACTCTGACAGTCAAAGTCATGTGGTATGTTGGCGATTCACATCTAGTTCTCTACAGTTAAGATTACAATCAGCTCAAGTTCCTTTATAGCTTTTTTATATAAAAATAGCAACAATTGAAGTAATGAAAGCTGTCAGTAGTGAGAGGAAGAAGTGTTTTCAAAATAGGTCAATATTTCTCTGATTACCAGAAAGGAAAAAAAATACATAACACACTGCTCCTGATTCAATTGAAAAGTGATGTTCAGGAAATGAAGATAAATGAGATTAGTTTCGGAAACTGGGAGAAAAATATAGCCTTGCTATATTTTTTCAGGCTAACCCCACTTTATTTTCTTTCTCAGAAAAAGCCTTCACTTTCAGATTTAGATGGTTTTTAGAAGGTTTGCTGTTAGTGATGGAGGGGGAAAAGGCTGCAAAATTATCATAGCAGCAGGCTTCATAACCACTCTTTGTCACTCTTAGGCAACACCAAAGGGCAAATAGAAATTCTTATAGTAATTTATGGAAAGCATGGAAGTTACAATAGAATTACTAACACTGTACCCAGAAATTACTCATGTTCTGCATTTACACCTCCCACTGCACCACTAGTGATTTTAAATAGCATTGTATTTTTTTTCACGACCTAAGCTGACAGCACTCATGGTTCAGGTATGGGGACAAATGGATAGATTTATAGGCAACCAGACTTTTGAAGGAGAAATAAAGGCAAGTTTTGTGAAATACTGAAGGAATTTTCATAATGAACCAAATTTTCATAATGAACCAAAACTCCACTGATTCTAAAACAGAATTAAAGGGGCTGGATATGAAGAAACTGATGCAAAGATCACTAAAATCCCACTGTTATCACATTAACCTCTCGAATGTCCACTGTCTTTGTAGCCAAAAAATGAATAAAAGAGGGTTATATAATTTAGATGTGACATAAAAATACATGAAGGCAAAATAGTCCATCTGAGGTTTTGTGAATTTTCTAGATCTTACTACAGTGTTTGTAATAGTCCAGTTAGATTCCACAGAGGGGATTCAATTTCATCATCCAAAGACAGGCTCACCTCATTATATGACTTCTATGGTTATGAACACCTCAGGTTGATGTACAGCCCTTCAATACTCCT